TGTATTACATCAATCTAAGCTTCAGTTTCAGAGTTGCAGGTGAGAGACAGAAAGTCACCTGTCACGCATAGGTCCTTTCTTCTTCACAGGAGAGCTCCGTAACCCTCTCAGTCTGTTATTGGAGATGATTGGATGTTACCGCAGGTTACTGACGACCCGCCCCCTCAGGTATCTGCCTGAAGACTCCCCGCAGGGTGTCCAGCTCGCGGCTCAGGTGCTCCACGCGCCTGCGCAGACGCTCGTTGTCGGTGCTCAGCTCCATCACGCGCGACTGCGTCTCGATGTTCCTGATCTTCGCCTTGTCCCGACTCTTCCTCACCGCCACGTTGTTGCGCTCGCGCCTCAAGCGGTACTCTGGACTGCTTTTATCCATGTGCTTCTTATTATTGCTGTTGGACTTAAGCCCCGCCCCCCTCTGATGGAGGGGATGATGATGATGATGATGATGAAGGTGGGGGCTTGGAGCAGGTGTCGGGGGAGGCGTCGGATGCTGTAAATGCATCGTAGTTTGCGCGCAATTAGAGATTTGATACTCAAGATAATGTTGCTGAAGATGATGAGGAGGAGCATGAGGAGGAAGAGGGGGTTTCTGTGAGTACTGGTGGAAGGAGGGGGGGTCCTCGCGGTGCTCCTGTTTGATGGCAGGAGGGGGACGCAGGCGCGGCTCGTACGCAGGGTCGGGTTTCTCCTGATAGCCCCGCGCGCCGCCCCCCTGCTGGTGGAACAGGTCCGCGAGGAAGTCATCGTTGAAGGCGCTCGGATCGATGTAGACGCTCAGATCGATGGACGTCTCGTTGTCTCCGATCTCTCCTCCAATAACATCCGGATCCCTGTAAGGGTTCTGAGAGGGGGGGGGCGGGTGCATCAGGGCGCGCGGGGCTTCGTATAGCTGAGACATCTCCATGGAAACACTAAAACCCGGCATGCATGGCGAAGAAGAAGAACTGCCGGGAGAATCCAGGGTGAGAGGGTCGGTTCTGGTCCTCAGGGTTCAGTTTGGAGAGGGTCGGTTCTGGTCCTCAGTTTTAAAGAAGCTGGTTCTGGTCCTCAGTTTTAAAGAAGCTGGTTCTGGTCCTCAGTTTTAAAGGAGCTGGTTCTGGTCCTTACGTTTTGAAAAGGCTCTTCAGACTCAGCAGGTTTCTCTCAGATTCTGGATCCGCTGCAAACTGACTGGAGTCTGAGCTGTCAAACTCTGCTTATATACAAGAGGGAGGGGGCGGGACACAAACACACACACACACACACACACACACACACACACACACACACACACACACACACACACACACACACACACACACACACACACACACACACACACAGAGACGTTGTGAAGCCTCTCACTGCGGACTCCGTTCAGACATCTCTTCCTCGTGTTGTAACCTTTCTGTAAAGCAAAGATGAAAGTTAGATACGGAATCTGGAGGGGCAGCAGTCGGTTCGTAATGTGGCACATTTAAAATGCGCAGTTTCATATCTGGTTTGTTTCGGACTCCTAAACTCTGGTTTTACGCGCACTTTACGCGCGTCTCTCCGCTGTGATCGAGCAGGGCTTCAGTGAGAAACGATCCAAATGAAACCCATGTTTTAAAAAGACTTAATTCTCCTATGAATTCCACATACTGCTATGTACTGTAAGTGTGTGCATCTCTACAGGCTATATATCCATGTACTGTGAGTGTGTGCATCTCTACAGGCTATATATCCATGTACTGTGAGTGTGTGCATCTCTACAGGCTATATATCCATGTACTGTGAGTGTGTGCAT